TATACATATTAATGTAGAATCTATGCCTTGATATTATTGATATTTGAATGAGTTGTATGAAAATTTACGTAATTGTATATAACATTCATTCTATATAGAAAAGGATTTAATTAGAAGATGTCATAATTCTTAGGAATAAATTGCAAAGATATGAAATTTGAGGATTAAATTATGTAGAATCCAAAAGTAAGGGGTCGAGACTGTAATTTTACCGTTAACAAAATTTGCAGAGAAGGACAAAAACATGACATGGACTCTTCAGGACGAATGCAGGAAAAGTGTCGGCACCTTGTTGAGGGTGTTGACACCTTATAGCTCATGCTGCATATCTTTCAACTCATGCTCATCCTCTGCACCTCGTGTTCAAGTTCTGCACTTCATGCTCGGCCTCTGCAGCTCGTGGTTGACCTTGGCAGTTAAGTGTTTGACCTCTACAGCTCGTGCTTGAGTTCTGCGCTTCGTGTTCAACCCCTGCACTTCGTGCTCAACCTCTGCAGTTTGTGTTTGAGCTCTGCAGCTCATGCTCAACCCCTGCACTTTGTGCTCAACCTCTGCAGCTCATGCTTGAGCTCGGCAGCTCGTTTGGAGCTCTGCAGCTTGTGCTATAAAACTCGTGCTCAGCAACTCAAAAGATCTTGCCTGAGTTCTGCATCGTGCTTGTGAGCTCGGCAACTCGTGCTTTTGAGCTCGGCAACTCGTGCTTTTGAACTCAGCAGCTCGCAGCTCATGTTCTTGCAGTTCGCTTCTCATGCTCCTGCAATTCTCAGCTCGTGCTGCAGCAGGGACTTTACAGCTTGTTATTGTCAAATTTCCACGGGGTAATAACTCCAAATGGCTTGCTCGTTACAGCTCGTTATTCACAGCTTTATTGGCAAATTTTTCAAGCCTCCAAATGGTTCGGTGATGCTATGTGGGCGGTTGAATGCCTCTGCTCTCAACTGAGCATGAGATGAGACTACTGGCTTCTCAGAGCAGCATGTGTATTCCCGGTAGTGGTTTAACTGTCATCTTGAAGGGTGGTGTCTAGTACCTCCAGAGCTTCCATCTCTAACACTACCATCAGCGTTTTCTGTCATTGGAACCATAGTCTTTTGCTCCCTAACAGCTGATTGGAGGGATTTAATTTGTTACTGGCAAGCTGACTAGTCAGGGACTTATCCCTTGGATTTCAAATGGTTTATTGCCCAAGGAAGGTGCTTGTGGTTGGAACTCGCGTCTTCCCAGTGGTTTCATAGAGTGTTGTTTATTTGTTGCAAGTATGGGCTAACCATCATCATATTATGTTGATTGCTCGTGTCTTCTTCAACAAGCTTCATTACAAATTTGCTCGGTGCATGCCGCCGAGCTGAGAGATTGCTTTGCTGCTGTCGAGCTGGACTGCCTTGCTTCTGCTAAGCTGGAGTACTGCTGAGCTTTGTTGCTGCCGAGCTGGACTGTTTTGGTGCTGCGAGCTGGGCCGCATTGTTGCTGCCGTGCTTGGCTGTTGTGCTGCTACCGAGCTGGGCTGCTCTGCTGCTACCGACCTAGAGCATTGCTTTGAACTTTGCCGTTGCCGAGCTGGGCTGCTCTACTGCTGTCGAGCTGGAGCATTATTTTGAGCTTTGCTGCCGTGCTTGGCTGTTGTGCTGCTGTCGAGCTAGGCTGCTCTGCTGCTACCGAGCTGAAGCATTGCTTTGAACTTTGCTACTGAGTTGGGTTGTTGTGCTACTGTCAAGCTGAACTGCCTCGCTTCTGCCGAGCTGGAGCATTATTTTGAGCTTTGCTGCCGTGCTTGGCTGTTGTGCTGCTGCCGAGCTGGGCTGCTCTACTGCTGCCATCAAGCTCGAACTCATCTTCTCATTGAGGGCAATAACGCGCCTTTTAGCTGAGAGGTGAGGCTGCAGTTCTTCATGAGCAGAGGACAATGGTATTTGAGCATCTCGGACTATGACAAGGTCGGAAGGCTTAAGGCGCTAGCAAATGGCGCGGGTGGTGGCAGCCATGTGGCCGAGGAACCAATTGATGGCTCCACCATCTTTGTTGAATGCCTTCTCCCCCAACTCCACATTTGTGAGATTTGGCTTTTTTTCTTTTTTCTTTTTCTTTTTTTTTTTTTTTTTGACTACTACGACTTGCCTTAGGCTTTGTGCTTTGCTGACACCTTTTTTCCCTTCTTAAATATTTATTGCTAACATTGTACCATACGTACTTTTTATTTTATTAAATAAAACCTCGATAGTTGTGCAAACTACTCACCTGTTTATTTTCTTGTGAAAGCTTCTCTTCTTTACAAGCGAATAAACCCATTTTGTAAATTTATCAGATCTATTTTGTGAAAACTTCTCTTTTCACAGGTGAACAAACTTACTCTGTAAATTCATCAAATCTACTTCTGCAACTCAAAAGAATAGGTAAATTCATCAGATCTACTTTTGCAACTCAAAAGAATAGGAAAATTCATCAGATCTACTTTTGCAACTCAAAAGAATAGGCCATGGGCCTTTCACTCATCTTCCCTTCCCTCTAATCAACCGGATCAACATAGAAATAAAGCTTTTTATTCGTTTCCCACAGACGACGCCAATGTAACTGCACCAAACCAGAAGTCCTTCTTCAATCCGCATCTTCACTTCGGATGTACTTGCAAAGCCCCGAGATGGGTCCTCGGGGTAGACACTCCGATGCTTAAGTCAGCAATAATCGGGGCTACCTTTAGAGTGGAGATAAAATGAGCTTAAGGTTGGTTTCAATTACCTTTCTGAGGTGGCCACTGGGTATATTTATAGGCCTTTGTGAGGTATCCACGTGGCTTGCTTAGCAGGATGATCGGAGTGTGACGTGTCCCTTAAAGAGATAAATTCGGGACCGGGGTATTGTGTGATAAATCAGGTATGGGCATGCCCATTGTATTTACTGTGCAACTGTTTGACTAGAAGTGCTGGATTTAACTTCACTTCGACTATTAATGAATTATAGCAGTACGTCCGAGGTCCTTAACCTCGGACCTATCCTTACAGGAATTTTCTCAATGCATTGCTTCTCAAATCGGACATCAAATCGACATTCAATTACTGAAGAAGGCGATATCTGACAACCTGTGACACAAGACGAATATAGATTTGAAGTGTCAGCTTCGACCGCTTCCAACTTAGCACCACCTACAATGTGTAGTCTCGTTAGTTTTTCACTGGAGATCTTCAATATCTTTTTAGCCTATGGCATCCAGAAACCCACAAATACTCTTAGGAGCGGAAATTTGCCAACTAAGTCACAGAATTCATGGTCTGTAATTACTGCACCATGCAACAATAAGTTTTGAATGGGATAAAAGCCAGCTAAGTTGATCAAACAAGGCGTTTTCCCTTTACTACAGTCAAAGATAAAATTCTTCAGAGATGGTGTCGCGAGTTCAATACTCTCAAGCTTATTATCCGCACCAAAAATTAGTCTTGAGTCTCTGACCAAAAATCTTCACTACATAAGGGGTTCAGCATCAAACGAAGGGCAAGGTCTCAGGCATGGGAAGTCCAGAGAGAACACAACTAACGCCTTTTTTCGTGATTACTACACCACGCAGCCATATAGTCTTTAACTCATGACAATCATTGATTGCAAAAATGACCATAAAAACTATCAAAGACAAGCCTCACAGTAGTCTTCAGTCTAGGAAGATTATACACAACGATACCATTGAGACGCCTTCAGTGGCTGATGGCTAAATATTCGAGAAAATTGAAAGTCACCAGCAAGCTTCAAAATCATGGACCCGTTTATATCACATGAATCACAATTAGATAGAACTAGCTTTCTAAGAGACTTAAACTTTGTCCCAATTTGAGAGGACTGCTCCAATGTAAAACTGCTTATATTCAAGATCTACTAGAGAGCAGAGCATTAGCAAGCAGAGTATCAGCAATGTGGGTGCTACGTATGTTGCTGATACTATGTCATTACCGATGTGTATTAACTTGGTGATTGGTTAAATAGAGCCATTGGTTAAACAGGGCCAATTTCGTGTGTATTGAGGACTTGGGAATCAGCAACATAAAGTATGTTGCTAAAAATACTATTAGCAACGTAGCGCATCTTGCTAAACTTTATTGATTTTTGTTTAATTATTCTAGCAATCAAGGAATTTAGCAAGGTGATATATGTTGATGATTTCAACTAAACCTATATTCCTCTAGTATGGTACTCCCTTGGTGTGGCACGAGATGATTTTAGACTACAACGACGTGATTCAAAATGCTTTTGAACAATTGACCCGTGGTTAATGGTTTTTGACGATTAATTGGTAGTTGTAAGTACTTTTCAATGAAAAAATTCAGTATTATGAGATATGTCAGTGATTCCTTTGAAAGATATATATAAATAACATTTCCTTTTCTTTTTTTTCTAATATTTGCTCTTCATCATTCACTCTCTCAACTCAATTTATATCTTCTACTATTAAATTTTGATATTTCTTGTTTGTTTATTCACAAGTATTTTTTTTATTAATTATTAATTTTTTTATCTTGATTTATTAATAAATATTTCACTAATTTATCAATAACTTTTTCTTCGTGACTATGATAATTGCTAAATAAATAGTTAAGGATATTTTGATAGCTAATATGATGATATAAATATTATGATGTTTTTCTCCTCATATAATGCCCTTTTTATGTTAATTTATATATAATAATATAACATTTAAATTCTATTCAATAATCATAATATGTTTCACATAATGTAACATTTACTCTCATATAATAAATAATTTTTATTATTTTTATGGTCAATATACATTATTTCAAGTCACTGAATTGCTTTGATTTGGTTTTTAAGAATTGTTACTTTATCAATTTGCTTGCATGTCATGTAGCTATTAATTTTAACTTTATAGCATTAGGTACATGTTGAATTATATAAGTGGATGGTGTTAGTTGTGTAATAAATTGGTTGTTTTTTTGTTACTAGTCTCCCAATATTCGATAACCATATTGGGTTTCGACTAATCCGAAATCGAATCATGTTAGACTCCATTAAAAGAAAAACTCTCCCAATGCATGTCTCTCCATTAATAAAATTTGAACTCGAGATTTGATTTAAAAAAAATCGAGTTCCTTCCACTCAAACCAACACGTCATTGGTGATAAATTGATTGTTGGGTTTATATAATTAATGATTATACAAGCATTATTTGTAAATTTGAAGGAATACTTACAAGTAACTTGAGGTGGTTAAGAAATTGAATATCGACAATGTAATGCTCATTGCTAATAAGTTTTAATATCAACAATGTAGCACTTGTAGGTGAAGGAGCTATTTAGCAATGTGATCCATGTTGGTGAAAGAATTTAATTTTAACAATGTGGCACTTGTTGGTGATGGTGATTTTAGCAATACAATCAACATCAATGAAAGTATAAGGCTTTTGCATTTGATTCCTTTTCTCTATTATTGCACAGTACCAAATTTCAACAATGTAGCAATTGTCGGTGAAGGATTTTTTAGCAATGTGAATCACATTGGTGAAAGCCCCAATACTTTTTTACTACCAAAAAAAAAAAAAAAAAAAAAAAAAAAAGAAGGAACAAAGTCATTTATTTTATATCCATCAATGCAGTTAATCTATACATGACTAAAAAAGTAATAATTCAAAATTTGAAAATTAAAAGATTTTCAAAATTTATTCATTGAACTTTATGTTATGTAAAGATGTACAAATAATTTTATGTAAAGTAAAATCTTGAATTCATTTAGAAATCCATTTTTAGTCTCTTTTATTTTTATAATCTTTTCTAGTTAATTTTGGATTGTGTTTGTACTCCAAGTCAAATCTTTCTTCTTTTTTTTTGACCAAAAAAATTTATTAATTTTAGCAATGTAGCATTTATTGGTAAAGGAGCTATTCAGCAATGTGAATCATGTTGGTGAAAGTGTAAGAATTTTTCAAAATAAATGAAAACTAGTTAATTAATTCAACATTGCATCACATGTCAATGATTGTGGCTAATTCAACATTGCATTACACGTCAGTGAATGTGAGGGATTTCTTTTTCTTTCCTTTTTTTGGTAAGACAGTTTAAATAAAAGGGAAGTTTTGATTTTTTTTGGGGCGAGACAATTTAAAAAAAATGGCATTGTAATGTAAGTCGGTGATAACATATCATTGAAATTGAAAATACCTATCAACGACATGTTATACAATACTATGTGACTCTATTTATACTAAAAATTACAGAGGACTTTTCATTCTCATTCCCTCTTTTCCACTTCTCCTCCTTTCTCTTCCTTTCTCATCCTTTATCCTCCCATCAAATTAACCTTCTCCTACTTTATCCAAGTTTCAAAATAACATTCTCCTCACTTCTCCATTTCTCCTCCTTCATGCTCTCATAAAATTAACTAATTTGTTAATAAATAATTACCCTTTTTTTTGTTTGTTTTTATAGGAATTGATATTATATTGGAAAGTATGGTATACGTCCAAAATCAAAATATGTATATCCTGAGTTCTTTACTTTATGTTGATTTAATTTAAATTTTATAGTAATTAAGTTACTAACATAAATAAATTTTTATTTTATAGTTGATAATTTAGTGAGTTATTATTGAATATATTTTATATTGATTTTACTTTGGAATAAAGTTATTTTGTTAATTTTTTTTGTATTCTTTCACTTTTTAATTTAATGTTTAATGATTTTGTAGGAAAATTAGGATTTTTAAGTCTTAATTTTGGAAGGTTTGATTAAAGGTACCATATGTGATATATCATCATTATGT